AAAAAAAAAAAAAAGACTAAAGATTATAAACATTATTTTTTAAAAAAGCATGCTCATAGTATTGATCTGTTCATCACATCTTGGACAGAGGTGCTGACGGTCAGCTCTGTACCTCGTGAACATGTACAATCAATTTAAAAAAAAACTGAGAGCAAATAAACAAAAACAAGCACTATACTGTGGCTTAAGATAAAGGAATCAGATCAACTGTNAAACTAAATGCAAAAGCTAAAACTATAGAGCTAATAAAAGGAGACATAAGAAAATATCTTAATGACCTTGGGGTTTAAGGCAAAGATTTCTTAGAGAGGACATAAAAACATTAACCATAAAAGAAAAAAATTAATAAACTCGATTTCACAAAAATTACATTTTCTGTTCATAAAAAGACACTTAAAATGAAAAGACACACCACAAACAAGGAGAAAATATTTACAACACCTTTACCTTGTAAAGGACTTGTATCAGAATATATAAAGAGATTCTACAATTCAATAATGAAAAAACAATCCCATATTAAAAAAAAATCAGTAGGATTGGCCATTTAGCTCAGTTGGTTAGAGTGTGGTGCCTGTAACACCAAGGTCCAGGGTTGAATCTCTGTACCACCCAGCCAGCTGACAAAAAAAGCCAAAACCACAAAACCACAACAACAACAAGTCAGTAAAAGAGAAGGACACGTCACAAAAGCAGATATACAAATAGCCAGTAAACACATGAAAAGGTGCTCAACATAATTAGTCATCACAGAAATTCAAAAAAAGCCTTTTTATACCCACTGTAATGGCTATAATTATAAAGATTCATGTCACTAAGTGTGAGTAAGGACATGGAGCACCTGGAATCCTGTACATTGCTGGTTGAGTATAAAATGGTATAAGAAGTTTGGAAAACTGGCACTTTCTTTTAAAGTTAAATATATAGCAGCCCCGAGACTCAGCAATTCTACTTCTTGGTAACTGCCTCAGAAGAATTAACCTGTTTCCACAAAAAGACTTACACAAAAATGTTCATAATAGCTTCATTCATATTAGCCAGGAACTGGAAATAACACAAATGTCCATCAAAAAGAGAATGGAAAAACAAATCATGGTCTATTTACATAATAGATACTACTCAAGAAATTTTTAAAAAATGAATTACTGATACACACAAACGTAGATGAATCTCAAAAACATTTTGTTAAAAATACTTATATTGAGAGAAAGAGCCAAGACACAAAAAGAGTATATACTGTACGACTGCATTTATATGACCTTCAACTACAGGCAAAACTAATCTATGGTCACAGAAATCAGAATAGGAATTTCCTATGGAAGGTAGGGAGTAACAGGAATAAGGCAAGAGGAACTTTCTGGGGTGATGGAAATATTCTATATTTTGACTAGTGTGTTGGTTACAGGATGGTATAAATTTGTCAAAACTCGTGAAATTGTATACTACAGACTGTGCATTTCACTGCAAGTAAAGTTTACCTCAATTATGAAAGAAAGTGACCTCTGCACCTTTAAAAATGAACAAATTTTCTCAAATATGAAATTTTTCCAGCCTAAAGAAGGCAGATGGGCTAGTAGCCAATGGCTGTTTTAGAAACATCAGAGCACCACCTTGTAACACCAAGGTCAAGGGTTCATATCCCTGTACTGCCCAGCCACCAAAAAAAAAAAAAA